CCCGCCCCCTCCCGTCTCCGCGTTTTTCTCGGCTTGATTCCAGCTTGCAGCGGCGGAATGGAAAATGAAAGCGGGAAGCGAGCGGACACGGCCAAGCGATGCCTGGAGCAGCTGGGAGGAAACGCTGCGTGGCCAAACCGCTCGTTTCCCCGGTGACATTTCAAGCCATCAAGCATGGGTCTATTTTAAGGACAATTTGCTGTGCCCAATTCCCTGCAGCAGCTCTCTCCACCCCCTCCTCCCTCCACACACATCATTATTACTGCTTTTCTTGACTCCTTTCTTGGGATGTTTCTGGCTAATGCACCCTCACACCATGTCCAGGCATTGGACCTGGGGCAGCGGTGTCCCCACAGGCTTCTGCAGTTCTCAGAATGTCCCCTCCACCTTTGCAGAGCATTAACAGTCAGGGGCGAAAGGTGGTTGATGCCAAGGAAGGGTCACAAATGAGCCCCCCAGTGCAAACAGAACCCTCCTGGACCTGCAAAACTACCAGATTTAAGCACTGCACCAGGCTCCATGTGGTTCAGGCATGATTCAGAGCAGGGCCCACTGAGGGTGAGGTGCTGACACTGCGATCCCCAAGGCAGGTTTTATCTCCAGCTTGTTCTGGCCTTTTCTCTCCGGCACAGGATAACTCCACTGTGCACAGTTATCACCTCTGCAATCTCCTGAGCTGACATGGGAATGGAGGGAGGAGGTTCCAAGAAGCAGCACTTGGGTGCTTACAGCACAGGGGAGGGTAATAGGAACCAATTCAAGAAAGCAACGGTGGGATAGGAAGAAACATGGTGCCCTTTGCTCCATAGCAAGTTCCCAGGAGTGTGAGGAGACCTGGATGAGCCCCCACATACTGTCAGGAGCAGGGAAAACCTTGGGCAGGAATACAGGGCAGTGTCCATGCAGGAGGGACATTCTCCTTACAAGCCAAAAGGAAAGCTTCCAGGCCAAAAGATTTATTGCCTGGATAAGAAAAGTGGAAAAAAGGGCCATAAAGTACCTGTGATTTCCATCCTGGGCAGGTGACTTTCTCTGCTATCTCCTGATGAGCAGGAGGAGCTCATTTGCTCACAGCTGCTCTTATAACCCATCTTGCCTATCACCTCAGCTGGGTGAACTGGGATTTACATTGATCCCCAGCATGCCTTGGCCATTAGCATGGTGACCAAACCCACCTGCTTTTGACTAGAAACCTTGTGGGTTCTTTTTTTTTTTTTCCAAAGCTGGGCTTGCACTCTGCCTGGTCCTAGGCCCAGCCTGGCTCACAGAGGCGCCTTGCGAGGGCCTTTTGCCCATCGTTTTGTGACCCCTTCCCGGAGGGCTGTGTTTCATCGTCCCCAGGATCAAACCTGCTGTGGGGCAGAGCTGACCCCTGAGGGCTTCACCCCTGCAAACCTTCAAAGGCTTGGACAGCCAGATCAGAGAGGGATCAAGGATGGAGCATCAAAGCAGCTGATAAGCACGACTGCACTGCAAGCCTAGATGGAGGCAGATAACAACGGAGAACAGGGCTAAAACCTTGGGTAGGAGCCCTGAAACTGCACATTCTCCCCTCTCCTCCCTCTGCTAGCGCATTGCCACCAGTAGTGGGATGCTGCAATCCAGCCCTGCAATCCTGGTGGAAATCCTCTCGTGTTTGCACTGGAGGTTAGCTCTATTTATATTCTGATGAATGATTTACTCGAGTAATTGGCACACAGCTCCCCTATTACAGATCATAAAGAATTAATCACGAAGTTTTCAGTGTTCCTCTATCAATTTTATTAGACTTGATTGAACGTGTTGGATTGGGAACATATGGTATGAGAGCAAGAATCTGCTCTGCTTACACCCTGCTAAATACTGGGGAGCTGTACGGGTTCTGATCCCTGTAAATCTGGTGGGACAGCTGCTCCTTCCA